GCTTCGCTCGTGGGCTTTGCCCACGCTGGTACAAGCTCGGAATGCTCAAAGAGTGGGCGGCTGGCGCGCAGTTCATGCGCTTTGCCCACGTTGCTACGGATTCTGTGGATTATTTGATGACTTACCAGCCCTGTTCCCATCCATGGCCGCTTTGGCACCCGCTCGCAGGCCCGGCAATTGCGCTGTGTGCACGGGGCGCTCTCCGTCACCAGGTCGACCAAAGCCTGCACGTTCTTTGGGAGTCCCGCCCGCATCGCTAGAAACTCGTCTGGAGTGAGCGGGGCATTGCTGCAGCCCTTCGGTGCTTTCCTAAAGTTGCACCACCGCATGGCGGCCGCGCGCACCGACGGCGTGAGCTCCGATAGGCCGTTGCGGTATTTCCACTCGCAGTCGATTAGCTCCCTCGGAGCATCGGTCGGCCACAACCCTCCCACGCTCAACGGGGTAAAGCCGCCACCCACCGTGGGAGCCCCCGGGCCTGGCTCCGTGATGCTGTGGAGCCCACTCTCCCTGACATCCCGCATGGCGCTCGCGTTGGGAAAGAAAGTTCCGTCGAACGTGATCACCTTGTCCGGACCAAAGGCGTAAGTCTCCAGCTGGTCCGCATCACCCTCCGTCCGCTCCCGTGAGAGAGGCGTGCCCCTTTCCCGAGCAGCCGCCTCGGCTGCTAGCACCTCCGAAGTGTACAGGTGCGAGCAATCCGGCCGCTTGCACGCATGCTGAATGGGCCTGGCCGCCAGGTCGTTGAAGGCCCTCATGGCGGAGTCAAAGACCCTATCGTCCAGGCGGGGCGCTCCGGGCCCGTCCAAGCTGGCCGCAGCCATATCGTTTGCGTCGAAGCCCAGGGTGTGGGAGGCACCCAGAGCGGCCGCAAAGTGGTTGCGCAGCAGCAGGCCGTGGGAGATGAGATTGGTGCCGGAGAAGTTAAAGATCCCATCCTCCTGAATGAGCGGCGCGTACGAGCGTTAGCAAAGTTTTTGCATCGAAGTGCATACAGAATGAGCGAGGCCTGTGAGCAAAACGACCAATTTGCTCAAGTGCTAGCCATCGTCAGCTCAAAGCAACTGCTCAACACAAAAGACACTGCCTCCGCTATCGCGACCTGCACCGATGCGCGAGACCGTGTCCAGCCTCTGCTGGTAGACTCGCCAATCTCGTTGACCCCCGGGCCATTGGAGATGCTATGCCATGCCCCGTTACAACTATGCTCCGTCTGCTCCAGGATAGAGACGCGACTGCGTTGTCCACTAGAGCCTTATGTGGGTAGAGTTGTATGCGAACGCTGCTGGGAACACGATCATTGGAAAGAACTCGGATTTCTCTCATGGAGGGAGGCACGCGATATTTATAAAGTGACCAATGAAGGTTTGGAGACGCTGCAATGGGCCCAGTCGCCTCATCGCTTGGATCAACGCTACTTCAGAGAGCTTGACGTCAGGTCGCTGGCAATCCAAGAGGCGGGCGGCATGGCAGCATTCCAAATCAAACGAGACAAGGTCCGGTCAAATGCACTCGCTCGGAGGTGCGCAAATTTGATGAAGCACTACGAGGATCGGCCCTTGGAATGAATATCGAAAGACAAGTCTATCTCGCGGGCCTGCGCATCAGAGACTGCATCAATCTACAGGTGCCGAATGGAAGCCGTCTGCTCGACGAAGTGATACATGCTGCTGTCAACGCTCAGGACCAAGACGACGGAAAGCTTTCGGATCATCTGGACTGGATAGCTCCACTCCCGTCCATGAAGCGGTACACAGACTTAAAAAAGTTTGGCTCGAGTGCTTGAGTTTCCTCTATATACTCCCGCGTTGCCTCGTTCCGAGCAATCAAGTCATCTATCCCTGCATCCCCCATTTCAACACGTTCACGATAAACATGTTCCTGTAATGCGACGAAGGCCAGAAGCCTCTTCTCAAATTTAAGCCTTCGAGCAGCCTTTGCCCTTTTCGTCTTTGCATTTACCTTGGCTACGGACTCCTCGGCCGGACGTGCATAGTCACCGGCTTTAACGCAGTTCTGACCGCTTTTAACCATCAATGTGCCCATGGCTTCTAATCTCTCCTCATTTCTAAGAATTCGAAGAGCTCTCGCCAATGACGCCCTTGCAATCTTTGGCTCTTCGATGGACTCCGTCATCGATGTACGTTCACCGACGAAAATCATTGACTGGCTTGAACGCACCCTCACCTGCCCATCGTACGCCAGGCTGCAGCATGCAGCCACTCTGCCCGGCTGGATTGCACACACCCTCCGATGCACGGTCACGGAGTAGCGTGCCCCCGCCATGGTCAGCATGCCCTCTCGACTCTCAAGCACCCACCGCCTCACGCACGGCGCTGCACTTTCCAGCGGCCTCGGACCGCAAAAGTGCTTGGCAGCATCGCGCTGTGCCACGCCGCTGTCCCCCCATCGCTCGCAGGAGTCGACCACCGCCCGCCCCCCGCGGCTCATCACCGTGTCAATGGCCTTGTGTGAGTGCCCCATGTCCAACGCCGCCGCCGGTGGACAGAGCCACTCCTCGCGAGCGTGTGCGCAAGGGCCCGCAAAATCCAAAGAACGGCAGGTCGGGTCATTGCACACCGTCAACCGCTCCCCTGACTCCCGGAGCGCCTCCAACACCTCGACCCTCTCTCTGCGCTGGGAGGCTCCTCGAGCCGGCGAGGGCACAGCACCTCGCCTCACAGAGGCGCTCCCAGCTTCGACTACCAGCTGCAGATGCGAGCAGAGGCTCTGCTCATGGTTAACCACCTTGCACCGGTCGCAGTGAGGCCGCCCGCCCAGTCCCAAGCTGCACACCGCGTTGCCGTCCGGCTCTGTCCCAACGACTGCAAAGACTCTGAGCCGAGGCCCCCGCCATGCCTGGGCATTGAGCCCCTCCAACCTTGGCCCGAGCATGCCGTTCCGATCGATCGGAATGATGCCCGCGGCATCTCCGAGGGTGACCTCAAGCGCGAATGGCACATGTGGTCGGATGAACGGCTGAAAGTAGCCCCCCACATCTCCGGACATGGGCCCGGCCCACCACCCGGCAGCCGCTCGCTCGAGGAAGCTGAGGTCATGCTCCCTGCACGCTCTGCCGTCTCCGCACAGGCAAACGAACCTGCCCCCGTGGTCGATTGCTGCGAGTCTCGGTAGACTTGCTGGCACTCCCCCAGGCTTCAGATCCACCTCCACCAGGCGCCCATCAGGTCTCAAGCGGGGCAATAGGAAGACTCCCGGGGCCACGATCGTCGGCCGGATGATGGACTGTGACATAGCTCGCAGTTGCTGGTGGAATCCATCCTGTCACGTTCGGAAAACGGAATAGGTAAGAAATTTATCATTGAAGTGACATCATTGCTTTGCTCATGGGCTTCGCCCTTTCTGGTACAGCTATGAACCGCATCTTGTACCAGGATGGTACATGACTTGTGGCCAGCCGGAACTTACATCATCGCTTCGCTCGTGGGCTTTGCCCACGCTGGTACACTTCAACCATTCTGAGGTTGTACCAGGATGGTGTATGAATTCTCTAAAGAAAGAATTTACATCATCCTGGTACAGCTGTAAACCCCGGTGCGAGCCGGACAATTGAATCATTTTGAGCTTGTACCAGGATGGTGTGTGGATTGAGGCTAGCCTAACTTACATCATCCTGGTACACTTCAACCATTCTGAGGTTGTACCAGGATGGTGCAT